CAGACCTTTGCTTTAATGCTCTTCTTGGCTGCCCTGTCAGGGTAGCTGGAAGTCTGCAGTTGTGCCATACCTTTTTATCAATCAATGGTGGACTGAATGGTCAACCATGGTCTATTATTGCTTAACAACTAACATCTCTGTTAGAAATCGCACAGCATTCTGTAATGTGTATCAAAGCAAACTTTGCTGGATACAAAACTTACCTTAAAGATATTTGTAAACAGATTGTTTTTTGTAAACAAAATAAACAAAAGCAATTTAACCTTTGCTTTTTAACTCTAGAGTAGTTCTACTTGGAGGGAATCTATGATACAAAAACCACATATGATGGACTGAAGTCTGCAAATGTGGCTTGCTAAAGCTTGTTCAAAAATGTGTAAAACATTTTCTGTTGCCCTTTAAATGACAAATGGTTAATTAATTGAACTAGGCTGAGGAGGATTTAGATATTAGAAAAGGTTTGCTAAAATTTGACCCATTTTAACTTTTGTATTGGCCTAAAACTAGTAGGTGCACCTTGTTGATTATTTACCAAAATCTCCCTTCTAGGCTTTCCCTCTGGATCAAAGTAAAAAAAAAAAAACGCAGAACATTTGAGAAATCAAAGCTTACATTAGATTTGGACCTTTATCAAATATTTGAATACACAAAATAAGCACACAAAAAATATATAATGATATAATTTTAACATTCAAAGATAAAAAAAAAAAAAAAAAGTGTGGATCGGGCTGCTATATATAAATTCTCCCACAAAAAAAAATTAATAATAATAATAAAGTTAATAAATCTTATATTCTTTCTATCAATTTTGTTTTCTTAAGGTAATTCATTAAATAAATAAAATACATTTAAAAGTAGAAAGTTTTTTCCAAAATATCTTGTATATTTAATTGCAGTTTATTTACTAATTCCCTTCTCTCAACAGAATGTTTAGAACAGGCTAACAAAACATGTTTTACTGTCTCTCCTTGAAAACAAAAATCACCATCCTGTTGGATGTTTCCCTTTTTAAATAATATACTACGTTTTTAACCTCAAATGATCAAAAGGTAATCTGGATATAATGTTTTCCTATTTTCTATTTTTTTCCTGTTCTCCTCGTTGTACAAACTTTTCTTTGAATCCTTGAATACTTCCAGTTCTATCCTCTTCCCACTGCTTCTGCCATCAATCATTTTTTTCCTTAACTTGTTGAAATTACCGGTTTCTCCCTGAGGCGCAGTTGTTTCCATGGCACCAGTATCCTCTTCATCCTCGCTTGAAGATGAAGATGATGATGATATGTCTTTTGGCATTTTTACGCTTTTAAAATATAAGCTAGCTGCTAATGTAAACGTTTTTTAGTTCAACACGCATGGCTCTGAAGTGGGAGGACACATGTGTTAACCTGAAGTAATTCCAGACTTTAAGAACCACTTCCGTGTCATATCGGACTGTAGTTCCGCTTTAAGGTTTGACGAATCAGTTTGCGTTGGTCACCCTGAGCCCAAAAACTCAAACCCCCATAATGCCATTCGAACGATTACGTAACCTACCAGCGTCGTTTGGGGGAAAAACAGTTGACAGGAGCGAGAAGTAGGCCGAACTGGATAAACAAAGCAAAATTAAGAAAAACTGCGAAAACGACTCTAATATTTGACACAAATTATCATGTTTATAACCCGTAATGTTGTTCTAAACTCGTGTTGACCCTGCTAAAGAGGAAAGTTTCCAGAAAAGAAAGGGGCGTACACCTGTCGAGCCGAAAATAGGTTAACGCTGCTAACCTGTGTTAGCACGTAAACGTGCTAGCTGGCTGTTGGAGCCCGAACAGGTGTGCCAGGTGGCCCGCTGGCCAGCCATGTCCTCCCCGTCTTCGTCGTCCAGGCGCCAGTGGTGCTACTTGTGCGACCTGCCGAAGATGCCGTGGACCGTGGTGTGGGACTTTAGCGAGGTGGTCTGTCGCGGTTGCGTTAACTACGAGGGGGCTAATCAGATCGAGTTCCTGATAGCAAGCGCCCGCCAACTGAAGCGGAGTCACGGCATGCAGGATGGTAACGTGAGGTCGCCCGGTCCTTCACCCAACAAACACGGCTCCTTAGCGAGAGCGGAACCCGGACCGGACGCTGGAAGGCAGCATACGGAGCGCGTTGACCGCGGAGGAAGGGGAGAAGGCGGCGGGACGGCGATACGTGTCCCGCCCAACGGGATCCACCGAGAGCAGCCGCCTCAAGAGGTGAACCGTCAGAGCCCCAGCAGCAGCCGGAGACCCATGATCGGCGCCGCCATCCCTCCCAATCTGGTGACACAAAGTATTGCGGGAATCCCTCCTGGACTACTTCCGGGCATGCCCGCGAGTCTGACCGCCAGGACAGCGCCGATGAGCAGCCCCATGATCTTCCCTGCACCCGTATTGGCCGAGATGAGTCGCAGACAGCTGGGTATCGGGATGGGCATATCACCCTTCATCACTCCAGAGCTGGAGCGAGAGCTCAGTTCCTCCCAGGGCCAGAGCAAATCCCAGAGTCAGGCTCAGTCTGGCACCAGCAGCTCAAAGAGTGCTCCCCTATCTTCCTCATCCTTTTCCATGGCTGGTGGTGTGAGCCAGACGAGTCCTAAGCCTGCCTCATCCCCAGCCAGACAGCAACGTCCTCCAACAGCGAGGTCTGGAGCTGAGCCTCTGGGATCCAGCAGCTCAGCAGAGGCGGCCACCACTGCTGCAGCAGCGCTACCCAACAACGGTGCCTCTGAGCTGGGATCAGCATCTGTCAGCAACACCCATCCGGCTGGAAACACACTGTCCTGCACTTTGTGTCATGAGAGGCTTGAGGACACACACTTTGTCCAGTGTCCATCAGTGCCGGGGCATAGGTTTGTTTTTCTACTGTTTTATTACTACTGTGTGATCAAGACAATTAACAGCAAAATTAAAACCATTGAAACGAGCTCACCTACTAGTAGTATACTCTTTAATTCAATCTAAATTAAATAAAAACCTGAAAGAAATTAGATTCATGTGGTTTAAATCCACTACCGTATATATATAAGTGTATATATAACTGAAAGGGATCAGATATAAAACAAAAATAAATTTAAATTGTCCAATAAAGACCTGATTCATGTTTTTTTAACTCTTGTTTATAACCTTTTCCTCACCCCATCAAATCCAGGTTCTGCTTCCCCTGCACCAGAGTGTACATCCAAAGCCGAAGGGGAGACGGCGAGGTCTACTGCCCCAGTGGAGAGCGATGCCCGCTTGACAACTCGCCCAACAGCCCTCCGTGGGCCTTCATGCAGGGAGAGGTCTCCACTATCCTGGGCACGGGCTCAGCACCAGCAGGATCTGCTCCAGCACCTCCATCTGGAGCCAGTACAGGGCCAGGAGCTGCTCCGGCGTCTGGATCTGGGAGTGGCCCAGCAGCAGCAGGTGGAGGGGGAGGAGGAGGCGGAGACGTCAATGTTAAAAAAGAGAGGGAGACGTGATGGCGAGTTTGATGGTGACAAGGACCGAACACAGCAGCAGGCAGGTTGTGATTTTACCAAGTATTTATTTAGGCTACAGACAGCTCCAGCGGTCTGGGCACATGTCTTGTTCTGCTAATGCTCACCTGTTATAAAACATGCAAGATTTTTCTTTAATCATTTTCTACTGATTTTCTTAACTGTATTTAGCTGAAGGTTTTGTTATTTATCAGAAGCTTAATGCAGTTAAATTAAATCCTGCTTCTCAGTGTTCGGAGTCTTTATGTCATGTTTGTGTTTCCTGTTTTTACAGAATTTGGTTTAGTACATGAAGAGATGACTACACTGGACTGCTGAGGGACCCAGAAGAGAAACACAACGACCCATAAAGAAAGAAATCCTCCACTACACAGGTTCTGACTCCTCTCGCAGTTCAGTTAAATCCACCTCATCAGAATTCAGAAGCTTCTGTTTTTCTTTCTCTTTTTATTTCCCATCAAAGTTAATTTTTTTCAGCTGAAACTTTGTATTTTAGTCGTCCTTTTTTTAAGTGACTTTAGATTGAATCCTCATTTAAATTCCTTTTTCAGGAAAAAAAAGCCTTTCCTAAGAATGAACAGGGAATATTTTCATAAAACTGTTCCTGTAAAGATGTCTGATGTGCAGTTGATGATGGATTTTCAACAAAAGTAGACAAATCTAAACATTAGTTACAGTTGAGGATCTAATGTGGATCTTTGATGTTCGCTAAGCTAGTTAGTTATTGCAGACTGGTTTGGGTTAAAGCAATACCCTTAGTGATTCAAAGACGCCAAACAGCAAATTAGTACAGCGTCACAACATGTCTACATGGTCACATGTATTATATTCTCTATGCCTGGCATTGTTTCTGTTTGAACTGGTCCAGTTAACATACTGGGATCACATCACTGCAGCACCTATCCTAGGCTGACTTTCTGATCTCCAGGTTTTCTGTGTCCAATTTTAGAATATTCGAGAACGTTCAGGAACCGTTTATCAAAAAAAAAAAAAATGTTGGCTTCCGACATGGCCGTCTCTTTCAGCTTAATTGATCCGAAATTTTCCTCATATCTACTATAGCGAAAAGGGACATACTGGCGTTAGAATAACTCCAAAGAAGCAAAGCAAAGCTGGAATCTATGTACATTGGTGTTGAGCAGGGAAGAGAAAAATAGCTAAAGTGGTTTGTTTAAAAAAGGCAAAGATAATCTTTCTACCGGCAAAAATAAATGACAAACTCAAAAAACAAAACGGCTCTGATGCGTTATTAATGTGTCTAATCGGCTGATTTTTACTTCCACGTTCTGGTTGGAAGCTCAAAACCATTCAGAGCTTTGCTTGGATCTACAAACGTCTTTCCTTTGTTTTGGAAGTTTTGCAGGAAAAACTGTTTGGTTTTGGCTCTCGGCCCGTTTAGTTACTGGATTTCATTCCTGATTATTTTTCTGTAGAAAAGGGTCTAGCACAGGAAAAATGGGATCTTTTCATCAAATCTACCAAGAACTGAGAACAGGCAGCTTGATGGTGTTACAGCAGCAAGACTCTCTGGTTTATCCACTGAATTTCACTCCATTGCCAGATTTGAAAATGTTGGGAACCTTTTGGAAATCAGAGCTTAAAAAAGGAATCATATTCTCTAGTGCCCACTGTCCTGCCTGATCATAGATCTCAGCACACCTGAATCAGGTGGCTGCATTACCTCCTTAGCAGCCATGTAGTTGATCACACATTTAACCAGGACAGGTGTGTGGAGGCCGAGACACATAAAGCATGCAGGACAGTGGTTCCTGGGGGAGCTGGATTAAAGCCCCCCCGCTCAGTAAAATCCACACTTAGATGGCGCTAACCAGATTCATTGCTAAGATAAAAGCGATCATTAAAAATGTCTTTAAATCATTAGTTCTTTATTTGAAATTCTTAAAGCCCTGATTGATAGTGACCACTCTCTCGTGCAAACTGATACTTTTCCTCTGCTTTGATACAGCATTCACTGAAAGGCCAGCAAGCAATGCTTTTAAATGCTGAATTGAATATGATTGGTATTGTAAGGTCAGAACTGGAAATCAGCCACAAATCTCTTGTCGTATCTATTTATTCGTTTGGTATGATCCAAATAGTCCCACTTTGCTGCAGTGAAGATCAAAGGTATGGTGGAGGATTTTCTTTTTCCGGGTGAATCATCTAAATAAGCGGTCCTCCTAATTGTCAGTCATTCTGGTAATATATTTACGTAAGGCCATCCTATGTGCTTGTCCCTTTATCTATCTTTTTCTGCGCATGCACACTTTCAGGCGTATATCTGTGTTGACCTACGGTTTCAGACAGTCATCAAAGCGCACCTTTCTCACCGCGGTTCTTTAACAATGGCAGAGGGTCGTAAGAGAGAAAGTGTCTACGAAGTGCACGAGAAGAAAAGAAAGGCCCCAAAGGAGGCAGATATATCCCGGAACGCTTTGCAGGGAGAGCTCCCTTTGCAAAGCATTATGGGATTTGCTGTCACAGTGGCTCACTCTCGCCATAGGCTGTCTCTACACGACAGCGGTGACTAATAATCAAAGATGGCGCTATGAGAACAGAAACTTTTAAACAACGTGTACGGAATAACGCGCTCTTGCACGCATTTAATAAGCGTTCCCTCTGGAGCGAGTACAGTGTTGTGCATTTTCTTTTTTTTTTAAATGGTAAGGGCGGGTCTTTTAAAAAAATCACTAAAATCCTCCACTATACCTCTAAGGCTCTTCTTTGTTGGACAAAGTGTAAAACTGTGCCTGTGCCATTTCTTTAAAGTGTCACATTTTGACAACTTCATTTTTTTATTAAAAAGGTTTAAAATCCAACCGTAAGAAATCTGAATTTGGACACAATTTGACGGGATGCAGTCAGCAACTATTTAGAAAAAAAAAAAGATTTCTGTGCACCTGTTGTCTATATTTTTTATCTTTAAGCCAGCTTCACAGAAATCTGTGTAAATCAAAGGAAGGGTGATGTTAGCGGTGCCGACTCAGCTTGTTAATGTTTCAGAACATCAACCAGCCGCAGACAGTGTTTGACTGTGTTTAATGTTGCTTACACACATCCAGCCCAGCCTACGCTTTACCCCGAATGTATATTTTAAAGGTATCTATTGATAAGCCTAGGACTATATTTTATACTAGAATGTTCAATGTTCTATGCTGTAAAGATCTGTTATAGTATGTATGTGCAATCCCTTAGTTTTAGTGTATGCAACAGTTATGGAATATAATTACTTTTATTTTTAAAACCTTCTTTTTTTTCAAAGGGAGAATCCACCTAAATATATATAAAAACTTGATTCATAATTAAGGTTTAGCACATGAATTTCTCCCCACATGTGATGAATGTATTAGAAATCATCTCAGATTTTATTAGAGGAATTTAAATGTGGACATTTTGGTGAAACTAAAGTGGGCGGGGCCAGTATTAATGGATGCTTATACTTTGTTTGTGTTTTGGGTCGATTCTCCCTTTATGTGCTGTAAACTCGGAGTCAGACGTTTGGACGCACCTTTGTCATTCATTACTTGCTATGGAAGCATAGTGAAGATATCAAAACGATGAAACTATTTGGATGGAATTGTGCCGCAAGGAAAAAAATGCCTCTTTTAATTCTTTTATCTTCACTTCAGTTAGCACACTTTCTCTCAAGGAGCTCCAGGAGGTAATCGCCTAAATTGGTAATTGTTTTAAGAGATCCTGGAGGTAGTTATAAAGAAAAGACAAAGCACCGGATGAGAAGGTGTGTCCAAAAGTTTGAGTTTCAGCGGTGATGCACACACAAACCAAAGGTCATTTTGAGCCCAACTTGATGTTTCTGGATGTAAAATGTTTTATAAAAATATATATTTCATTGTTTCTTGACCAGGATTGAGACGGCCGCTCTCCTTTATCAGCCTCTGTCGGTTTAACGGGCCCTGTGTCGTGTTTTATGATGGGATGTTATCATTTATAGTGTCCAGCATGTAATTATCCATAGATTGGCTCACTTTTAGAAAAAAGTCTTTTGAACAGTTTGATATCAAGTACAATATGCACTGATACGTAATGCAATCCCTCGGTAAGTGCCTTTTTAAAAAAACGTTTACCATCTGTTTGTGTCTGCGAACCTCAGGGGAAGTAGGAGTGCAATGGACTCTTTGTCACGTCGGTGAAAACCTGAATCAGTTTCCCTTCGATCGCCATCAGGCGGCTTTTTCCTTTCTATCCGAAGCTTTTGTAAAGTCAGCTGGTATTTTTGTTGTTTTCTGTGTGCCCCCCACCCCCACCCCCTTTCTGTTTCAAGTCTTTGTATACACGTACTTGTTTTTTGTAGAGCTTTTGGTTTACTGCAGCTTCATGTACAAAATAGAATCCATAATAAATGGGATGGAAACTTATTTGTTTGTCTTGCTTTCAACAATAAGGAATGTAAAGGTTAAAGAAAATTTATCCTTCATAATGACATGATGTTCTGTTTAAGTATTTAATCAAAATCATTTCACAAATTTAAATCTAAACATATTCCAGACAGAAAGGTTAACTTAATGCACATCTGCTCTTCCTCAGAATTTTGAGAAAGAATGAAAGAGCCGGATACTGTTGCTGTTAATGATCAGATGGATTTAATCTGCTAATCATAAAATCATCACCAATGGAAACACATCTATAAGGCTATTTGCTGCTTTAGAGCACACAGTGTTTAATAGCAACTAGGAAATTAGTTTAGAGAAGCAACTACTGCTGCTAATCAGTCTAAGAAGGAGAAATAAGATCACTTCCTACTGATTAATTGTCTCTTCCAGAGAGAGAGAGATTAATCACAAGTGGAAAACATTTAAAGCTGTCTTGCCAGAAGTTAACAGCCCAGTAAAAAAACACCTAACAGTGTGGGTACAAAGATCAGGGAACAAATGTTATTCAGGATGAAGTTTGAAACAGGACAACTAAATAACTGAAAGAGAAGAAAGCTCATTTGATATAATCTATTCTCTCCACAGCAAATCTGGCAGCATAACTCTGGTGCACTGTCCTCTGCACAAATCAGAACCAAGTCTTTGACCTTAGGCATGTGCAAAGATCTTTATGGGTGCAGATGCTTAAGCAAACAACAAAATGACCCACTTTCAAAGGTTTTATATGATAAAAAAGCATTTTAGCCTTGCTTTTTTTCACTGCTGAGAAGTATTTAAAATCAATATTATGCATAATAACTAAGAGAACCAAATGCATTTCTATAAGGCAGACAATACTGTGTACATTGTTGTACCATTTTGCTGATGGATATGAGGCATTACCTCAGCAACACACGACCACATATACATAACAGAATGTCATGTTGGCCAAACTAAAAACTGCATTTAAAACCAGTAGCCTTTAGCTGGTTAGTCATAACCATGTTAATGCTAATGTAGTCAAATAGCAACGCCAAATTTTCCCATTTCTGTATGGTCATTTTGTATCCTGGTGTAGGGCATTACATTTTGCCTTCTACATTTTTAATTGGCAAAAAATAAATAAATCCTCGCCTATTGAAGTATAACTGTGTGCATGAAAATAAAAATGTATTAACTAATTATATTAATAGCTAATAACTAAAATTGATAAATAACTAATAACTAATTTTTATTGATTAACTAATGTGATTTTTTCCTACACAGACTTATGGCCAGGAGATATTGTCTTTATTTCTGTTTTAAACTTTTTTTCTCTTCTGCTTTAAAAAAAGAAAAGATTTTAAATAAAACAAACATAATCTCTTTTTCTTCACTAAACCACTTTCTATCACCAATATGGCTAAGCTAAGTTAGCTGCCATTTCTGCAAAACCTTGCCATTGTCCCCCAGAGTCTTTTGTCACCGAATACTAAGGTGACTTTTTTTTTATTATGGGTCGTGGTTATGTTATTAAATCGGAGTGAGTTAAAATGTAAGGCTGGTCATCTGACCACCCAATAAAAGTTGATTTAATGACCTCAGAGATCTGCCATGAAAAAAAAAAAAAAACCTAAACATTCTGATAACTAGAATGGGGCCAGGTTGTATAAGAGCTTTACAATCAAACAAGGGTTTAATGTAAATTCTTGACTGGAGAGGAAGCCAGTGTGGGGAGAGACTGTGGTGATGCATCAGCTCTAGAATTGATTGAAAGAGGCAGTCAGCCATGTTTTGGACAAGGTGGAGATGCTTCCGAGAAATCAGAGATGCTGCTGTAGAGACAACAGCATTAATGGCCTCCAAGTTTAAAGCACTTGAAATGTCAATGTTTATCTTTAGCAGTTTTGTTTTTTTTCTTTTCCCAAATATTTGTAATAAAATGTTAACATCCTTATAAAAACACACTGAAGGATAGTACAGCACAGTATATAAAAACAAATCCAAGCATACACCAAATTAAAATCACAACAATATATCAGAACAAAAACTATAAATAAAAAAAATAAAAGGCTTCTCAGGTGATATAAGCATCGCTTACATTTGACATCCAATTACCTCCACCATCTTCCAGAAAGGATAACAATAGGTACCATATCTCCTCAAATTGGTTACATTTACCTTCCACTATATAACTTATTTTTTCCATGACCATGTTAGTTGCCATTTCTTTTAGCCAGTCATTTACATGTGGTGCTTGGACTTTTTTTTCCAAGACAAAGCTATAGGATGCTTAGCTTGTAACAAACACATGTCAAAGAAAATGTATTCCCTTCTTCTTAAAGGCATTTCAGGAGGGTATAACTGCAAAACAAATATGTTTGCTGATAATGGTAGATTAATACCTGTCATTTTATTGATCATATCCCTCACCCCTTTCCAGAAAGACATATGTTCACACTCCCATATGCAATGGTAAAAATCACCTTTGAGTTTGTTGCATTTTGTGCAGGTATCAGGAATATTTTCATTATACTTGTGTAGAATAGCTGGAGTTATGTAAGTCCACATCAACCATTTATATGTCAATAAATTTAATCATACACTTATTGTTTGTGTCTGAGCTTCCATTAGCAGGTTGGTGTTTGTTTAAAACATTGTTTAGGTTTAAATCAGTGTGATTAATATCAAGCAGCTCATTTTAGCTGAATTGTTGAGTTAGCCAAACCAGGGTAGAGATCAGCTACAGTTTTATTGGGTCATCCCTGCAGAAGAAAATGTAACTACGGTAATCAAGTTAAGGTAACGTGTTACGTCATATACTAGATATTATTGTGTAGAATTTAGCTTTAGGGCAGTGAACTATTGTACTATTATTGTTCTGATTAGCTCCAGCCAACATCCCATTAACTCTTACCAGCTATCT